AAATATATATATGTATGTGTGTATATTTTTTTTTCCAGGACACCCACTCATGTGTGTATATATAAATATATATATGTATGTGTGTATATTTTTTTTTCCAGGACACCCACTCATGTGTGTATATATAAATATATATATGTATGTGTGTATATTTTTTTTTCCAGGACACCCACTCATGTGTGTATATTTTTTTTCCAGGACACCCACCCAAAGCAGTGAAAGTTGCCAGCTACTTAATAAGAAAAAAAGACGAGGTGTAAGTAGATAAGAGCGAGGTTATCGTGTTAAGTGGCTTTATAACCTGTTTAACCTCAAACGAAGTAAATCCTGAAAACAAAACGAAACCAGTTTTTAATTTCAGTTATTTTTGGAACAATGTTTAGGAAACTGTGACATGACACACACTTAGGACTATAGATAGGTGTTATACGGTATATCATAGGTAAATCCCAGGACATTTTTTGGATCTACAGGATAGTAGAGATAGGGATTGATTATTTAATTATCTCATGAACGAGCATGCTTTGTTTCATTCGGAGGCTCTGTTCACCCTTGGCTCTTGTTTTAAAATCTCGGTTAGGGTCAGTGATGAACAAAGCCTTCGAATAAAAGAGATCTTTCTCATTCATATGCTGAGATCATTGTTAAAGAAGCTGATAGTAAATTGGTTTTATTTTTATGAAAGTAATATCGTTTATTGACGACTACTTGTGTTAAACATAAGCTAGCATTTTTTAATATAAGTATATAAAGTGAGAGGCAATCATTATTCTTAAATATCTTTGATTATTTATATTTTAATTTTATTAATGTTTTCCATTTTGATGACATGAACAGTTGTACGATTCGAAGTGAGTAATGTCTGCACGGTAGAATTGAACATGGAGGAGCTTTACAGCAGTACATTGGTGCTATGTAAAGAAAACTAACCGGGCGAAGCGTGGCCTAGTGATTAGTGTGTCGGGGCTTGAGACCTGACGCCGCTGACTGTGCTCTACACTTTCAGCTGTAGGCGCATTATAAAAACGACAGTCATTACCGTTACTCGGTTCAATGAGCTAGAGGCGACTGCTGATGGCTGTTTTTTTTCACTAGTCAATAGTTCAAAATTCGGGACCGTTATACCTGAATTGTAGGGGGTCTCTAAATTGGGCGTTTAGCCCCCGTGTGCGTGAGGTATTGTTCATGTTGGGAATTCCAAATCTAATTTTATCCTCCGATTGATCTATATACATTTTATTTAATACTCACCAATGATATTACTTGTTGAGGTAAGAAATCAATTAATATATTATATATATATATATATTACAGCATTTTAACTTTATTAAGTTAAATCCCACCTGAAAAGTTAACTTCTCAGCAGCATAGGCAATCGTTTTACAGTTTGGTTTGAGATATTTTCACTGAAAGTCTTTCTGTTGGTGTATTTGTAAGAAAATTCAGAAGGTAAATTTTGTGACTGAAGGAAATATAAAGTGTTTTGTTAACATTATAAAAACTACTGATATCTTTATTACTAACCGACTGAGTATTTTTTTTTAATTCCACGTAATGACGAACCATTAAAGCTTCTTTGTTTTGCCAACAGAGGCACTGGAAATGGGTAAATCGCCATTGACGTTTGAGCTATTGATCAATGAAGGAAATATTCATTACACTTGGCTTCAAACGTCTGTAGGAAATCAGCAAGTTAAAACTTCATTGATGATCTTCATCAAACTGGGAAGATGATCCTCACTGATGATCTGTGGCCTCTTAAGCTGTTTTCATTGATGACCTGACCTTATCATTGACCAGTCAGTTCATGATTAATCACGAAAGTCTATAAACTGATTGCGTATAGTATCTTATTCGGACAAAATACAGTTAGAAAAATAATTGACTTTTTCTATTTGACAGGTGATAGAAAAGAGACGTCGAGACCGGATAAACAACTCACTTTCTGAACTTCGGCGTCTCGTTCCTGCAGCTTTTGAGAAACAGGTAAAATGATTAATTGTTGTGTATGCAACATTCCACTTACCAAATGGCCAGGTGGTTAGGGGCGCTCGATTCGCAATCTGAGGGTCGCGTGTTTACATCCCCGTCCCACCAAACATTCTCGCCCTTTCAGCCATGGGGGCGTTATAATGTGTCGGTCAATCCCACTATTCGTTGATAAAAGAGTAGCCCAAGAGTTGGCGGTGGGTGGTGATGACTAGTTGCCTTCCCTCTGGTCTTACACTGCTAAATTATGGACGGCTAGCGCAGATAGCCCTCGTGTAGTTTTGCGCGAAATTCAAAACAAACAAACAAACAAACCACTTTCCAAAGACCGCTGAGACTCCACGTTTAGTGTCTTCCAATATCACATATTTTAGTCGCACAACGACATTATATATTTTTTTTTATTAAAGCTTCGACTTAAATTCTTTATCAAGTATAATTAGAACAGCTGGTTTATATATATATATATATTTTAAAAAAA